ACTTTTTCAGTCTTACATTGTAAGTGTGGTTTCACCGTGTCAGATCTATCTGTGCACAGATCTGGACTACGTGCAGTAAGAGCGCGCCGAGAATATTGTTTCCCCAGTCCTGTCCTTGCTCTACTTTCTGAATTTCCTGTACTACATATATGCTCCTTTCAAAAGGAAAAAATTCACATGTTACCCTTAAAGAGAAAACACAGGGCTCACTAAATATCCTAATACTTGATTTTCTCCAACTTTCCTGCCAATTCTTACAGATTAGTAGGGCTACCACTCGAGTTATGTGGAAAGGACTCCAAAAAGGATTCAAAGATGGCTAGGACCCGCCAAAGCCATGATCCAGAGGGAAGGAAAAGGGTGAAGCGAATTTACCAACTCTGGTGAGTAGGGGGCCAAATATCCATGATGAGGCATGGGTGCTGCGTGCAGAAGGAGGGTCTGGGAAAGGGTGTGACTTATGAAAGCATAAGCAGATAAACAGAGGATGACAGCTGAAAAGAAACATCAGGTTGAAACCACACCTAGGAAGATGCCTTCCTTTAACTTAGCTTAGGAATTGTGAGCCTTGCTACACTAATTACGCAAATTGGGAGTGGACACTTCAAGGATGGAGACCGTCGGAGGATGTGAGCAGGAAAGCCATGATATGGACAAAAGCCACACGTGAGGTGCTATGAATACTGCAGTGTTAAACCACAATGGAAAATGGAATTAAAAAAAAAAACAAACTTTCACAGCATGAAAACCATAAAATAGTCTAGATATGTAAGGGGCTGGGACATACAAGATGGGCCTGGTACACCTGGTTGTGTCAGAGTAAGAAAGTGCTTACAGAGCGATGGGGACGTGTTACAGGGACGCAGGAGGCGGGGCTCCCAACGTTAACTTCCCCGCTGATTACTGTGGTTTTGTAAGAGAACGTTCTTATTTTTAGGAAATATATACTTAAGTATTTGGAGATAAAAGGGCATCACTATGTCTCCAACTTACTCCCAAATGGTTCAGAATAAGAAGTGTGTGGCGTGGGAGAGACACAGAGAGAAAACATAACCAAATGTGACAAAATCTTAAATGACAGAAATTCTTTATACTAATTTTGCAACTCTCCAGTTAAAAATAAACTTTTAAAACATACCACAAAGTGAGGGGAAAAAAATAAGTCACCAGGCATTCCAAGATGTGAGGATATCAGGTTATCCCTGCTTGATAAAGATCTGCTGGTGTTGTCTTCTCCAGAGACTCCAAAAACCGTACTATTAGAACATATACTACAAACGACCAACTGCAGTAATTTATGCCAAGAAAATAAAGAATAGCATTCACTCCAAACTAATGAAAATGTTCCTGGCAAAGCCACTTATAAAAATGTTACTGACAAAGGCCTTTCTTTTTGTAAGTTATTTAAAAGACAAAAGGGAAACTTCTCCTCGTGGACTGAAAAGGAGCAAGATCAGAAAATGAAGGAAACTGGGGGGAAAAAACACCTTTCCACACTAAGCTCCGGCCTCTCAAAAGGGGAGAAAGCCACAGGTCTGGCAGAAGCAGCCTCTTTTGTATGTTTATGTGACACACAAAATGTTTTTTAAATATAAAATCCTGGGCAGCCAGGAGTTGTCCAGCAATGAAACTGGCATGTCTTAAACCCTTCATCATCCAGCAGTCTCCGCACACCCAAGGCTTCCAGCAATCCCAGCACTACTCCCGTTACACCCAGAAGCAGGTACACCTACCCCTAGTGCTGAGAAGATGATTAAATCCATCAAATGTCTCTGGCTTCCTCCAGTCCGTCAGTTTAGTTAGGTCATACAATCTTCATTTAAGAGCCAAAAAAGCTATTCAATTGAAAACAATTTCCCCCCCAATTAAAATGGCCCTAAAATGCTAAATACTTCGCATTTCTTGAAATCTTACTAATAACTTCATTAACATTAGCAATGCCACCTCTGGCCACACCTACAACCTGCATAACGCGACGAGACGGTGCTATACTAGGGAGCAGTTACAGGAAGACCCTGGTGGGCAAGTTCTAGTTACCTGTTACGGTGCTTTCAAGAAATCATAGTTGATCCACCAAAATGGAAAGGGTCTCTGAGTTCATTACATTCTCTCCTAAAATAACTCCTACTCCAGGATCCTCCCTCTGTCCCAAGCTGCCAGATTTCTCTCCCCCAGATGACAAAGTCCTTCCCCTGTGTCTCTTCTCTATTAGGAGAACTCAGGTTGAGGCCCTGACCCCAAAGCTACTACCCCCAGCAGAGTTTAGGATGTACATCAACTCACAGTTCACCACCAGTCCAGCCTAAAAATCTTTCATGGTTCACTAATTCTTGATTCCAGGCAGGAACGAGCCCTACATCTCCAGGCTCATCTCCTTCCGAGACCGGCAATAACCCTCCACTCCAGCCAATGGACACACCAACAAACACAGGGAAGCCTACATGTGTGCCCACGTGGCGCCAGGCCCTGGTCCTTTGCAATATTCTTTCTGACCCTGCTTATCTAACCATTCATGCTCCAGCCTTTTGCCTGAGTAACTTCTACTCATCCTTTATAACTGCTTTCCTCATCAGTTTGTGTATCTGTCTCCCCTAGACAAAGAGATCCTTAAAATAAAATACAATCTTACTTCTGAAAAACACTTTAAGATAATCAATGTTTACTAAACAAACCAAAGATTATTCCGTAAGACCTTACCACATTTATGATGTCTAAATGTATATATCTGTAACTAAACCATTTTGCTGTACACCTGAAACATAAATCAACTATACTTCAATTAAAAAAATTAAGTAAAGCCCACTAATTCCTTTGTTTACAAAATAGTTGTCCTTTTCAAGAACCAAGGTTCTTTAAAAATGATTTCTAAAATGATTAGTAAGAAGACTTAATAGGCATCACAACTTAGATAAGGGGAGATGGGTTATCCCTGAAATGAGGCCATCTTCCTTTAACAACCATGAATTCATGATGTCTAACAAGGTTTGCCATTTCTACAGTTCAGTGTAAAATCTGCAGAGGAAAAAACAAGCAAGCAGATCTAAATCCAAAAGTGTATTTGGTAACCTATCTGAAAAGAAACAATTAAAAGTAATAAATTAATTATTAATAATAAAAATTTTAAACTGCAGTTATAGGTTCACTGAATAGATGTATCCCCATTAAAACTGTTATTATGGAAAGAAAAAAAATCAATACAAAAAGAAGCCTCATCTCACAGCACGGGCAAACTGGGGGAAGACCTCAGACTCACTCATTATGAAAACCTAAAGTGAAGGGGCTGATTCAGAAAAGCTGGCAATGAGGTGGGGCAAAAAAGTGTTATTATGGAAACTATGTACTCACATAAGGAAATGTGATAATATCTAGTGGAAAAAGAGAGAAAATTGTATATACCTCAGGATTACCAAAATATTTTCACAGAGGGAAAGAACAGCTGTTTAAAAAAGAAAAACAAAATGTTTACAACACTTGTGTGGGGTAGCAGAGCTAGGTAACATCTCTGCTTTTCCGTGGCTTGTTTCTGTTACTACTTGCAAGGGGGGAAAACATTTTAAAATATGTTGTGTGTGAGGGAAGGCTGTGTCCCAGCACTGAGAAGGGAGGTCTGCTTGACCGCTCTGCACCCCGCTCCTTGGTGACCCGGCTCCAGGTCACCATGATGGGGGGGGGGGGGTGTCCACGGGCCCTCGGCTTCACTGGAGGGTCACTGCTCCTTCTTTCCTGGCTCCAAGAAATTCCCCTTCTTGGCTTAACTGCTGCTTCAAGTCTGACACAGTCTGAGAAGGCAGACCATTTAGGTCACTGAGAACCGTAGGGATAACAGCTCCTCTGCTTCCCTCAATATAAAGGAAGACCATGTGTGGAAAGGGAGGGGGGCTGGGGTATATATACAGTTTAACTTCAAGGAGATAAATGAATGAGAATTTTCAACCTAAGAGAAGATAAACACTTAAACCAAGATGCTACTCGGTAATCATACAAGCTCAATCTAATGAGAACTTTTAAAGCATTTTTAAACTCACTTGAAAACCAACATTACATCATGTGAGAGCTTGCTTCTAGCCAGACACTGACTCCTAACCACTTGAGGACAGCAGGAGGACTGTATACTAGTGCTGACAAGGATGCAGAGCAGCTGGACTGCTCAGGGTGGCACTTCAGAGAACCGTGTGGCTGTTTCTTACAGAGTTAAACATACACCTGATTTATGACCTGACTACACACCTAAGGACTGACTGGCCCCTGAGAAATGAAAACTTATTGGCTACACCCAGTCTTGAACAGAAATGTTCACAGCAACTCTCAGCCAAAAACTGGGAACACCCCAAAGTCCACCGATCAGCAAGCAGATCAATAAGCTGGGGTGCACCCAGACCAAGGAGCACTTCTCAGGAGTAAGAAAGGAATGAACCACTGAGAAATGCAACAGCACGAATCAACCTGAAAAGATCGCGGTGTACAGAACAGAAATCAAAACACTGCCTGGAAAGAGAAAAAGTAATTACACAGGGCGTGAGGAAGACTTCTAGAGTGCTGGAAATAAATTTTAGTTGGGTGGTGATTACATGGGGATTTACAGAAGACTGTCAAAACTCAAAGAACTGTATACTTGAAATGGGTGTTTCCAACTACGTAAATTATGTGTCAATAAACATTTGCTAATTTGGATATCAGCAAAATAAGTATTTATTACAATTAAGATTATTTTTTAAATTAAAAATCTTTGCCCTCTCTTTCCATTAATATAGGTGGTTCACTGGTTTATAGATTTCTCTTTTTCCCAGATCTAATGTAGTATAGTTTCTTGTCCCATTTAAGTTATCTTTCAAGAAACATGTAAGAATAGAAAAATTGGCTTTAAAGAAAATCTTTTATTTCATTATAAAGACTGTTCCCCTCAAAAGGAGCACACCACATTCAGTGTTCTGAATACACCATGCATTTAATCGCTCCTCCTTACTCTTTCCTGTTCACCCTACCCCTTCCCTTGGACTCACCCTCGTACTGGAGGAAATCACTTCTTCAAGGCCCACTCAAGTGCCACGTCATCAAAGTGGCAAACTGTTCAACCCCAGTCAGGACCATTTATATGTCTGAGCAACAAACTTGTCCCCAACAGAACTGTCCCGGGTGGTGACATCTCTCTCTCTGGCCTCTCTCCCCACTCCCTGCCTTGGACAACCACTCCTGCTCAACTACAGACTCCACTGCTCCATAATACAAAAAGCTGATGTCATAATGAGATCACTGGCTTGGATATCAGGGCCATTAGTATCCAAATGGCTCTGAAGAAGTTCTCCCCTCTACACCAGCTGTTTTAGGGCCCATCCTTACCTTCTTCCTACCTGCAGAAGGCAACATCCAAGTCAATTCACCTCTGCAACCCCAGAGGATCTACTTAATGTCCTATAGTGAGTAAATCCTCTAACTATAGACAAAAACCTTAGGTAGAAGCAAGCCAAAAGGAACATTAGCAGGAAAAGCCCCTCATTTTTTTGCAAATGAGCAAGCTATGGCCCAACTAAGTTACACATTCATACATTTAATAGGCACTGAGCACCTACCATGTGCCAGGCACCACAAGGCTGTGCGACTAACATTGTTTTCATATAACACATGAGTATGCATACATATGCAGCTAGGTTTGAATGAAAATTTACATATATGGATCTTACATTCCAGTGGAAGGAATTCAGACAAACAAGTAACACATCTGCAGTCTTTCCTAGCTATGCTCAACCTCATCTCTGATCATATGCACCAACATGACTTCCATGTGACCCTGGGTGTCACTGTCTGGGATTTCCATCCCTTCTAAGCTTTTCTCATGTGGTTTGTTCTCTGCTTAAGGTGCCATGTACATTATATAAGATGCACGTATTTAACAAGTGCCTGTGACGCTGCACCAGGCACGGGGGATCAGCAGTCACTGCGTTCCCAAAGCTCACAAAGCCACAAAGCTCCCACCTGGGGAGCAGGTATCACACAAATCATTCCACGGATGTCCACAACTCAAAGTGCTGAAAATGAGTAGCCGAGGCCTCGACAGTGCATGTAACATGGGCTCCTGACCTAGAAAGGCCACCCTGAGGATGTGACATTTAAGCTGAGGCCTGAAGCAGGACTTTGCTTGAGAACAGCAGAATAAAGAAGGCTCCAGGGAAAGAACAAATGAAGAAGAAAGGGAGTCCAGGGCATTCAAGAAGATTCACAAAGGTTCTTAAGTCTGTGACGATCTTGGAGAAGGAAACAGCGCCACGTTCATTTTCATCAACTATTAACGTAGGCCATGAACCAGAGACAGAAGTACCGGGAGTCCGATACCAAAAAGATCCTAAATATTCTCCTATCACATTACAGTGGCTGAAGACAGCATGAAAGAAATACCATTTGTGATCACTGCTTTGAAGCTGCAATAATTAAACCCACCAACAGGGCCTGTTGTTTAACAGGGGATTTAGAAGTACACACGTTTTACCATATCACAAATTTGCTTTTTAATATCCTGATGGCTATACTTTCGTGTAATGGGTTCCCTTCGTAATCCTGGATATTTTACTGTCAGCATTTGGAAACATTTTAAGAAAGGGGTCAAAAGATATGTATGCTCATGTATAATTGAAAAATTGTGCTCTACACTGGAATTTGACACAACATTGTAAAATGACTATTACTCAATAGAAAAGTGTTTAAAAGGGAAAAAAGAAAAAAAAAACAAAGGGGTCAACAGACTGCACCGGATTTCAGAAGGTTACAAGCACCTTTGGGAAAAGGCAACAGCCATGTGTTTGGGGAATGCAGACTGGAAGAACAGGCCTGGGGGAGGGGAGAGCAGAGTCAACAGAACCTGGCAGGCTCTCGCCAGAAGGCTGGACTCAGAGCAAGGTGATCATCTGCTTACCTTCACTGCTACCTGGAAAACGGGCAAAGGACACAGGAGCAGGCAACAAAGAGAAGGCAGGTACCAGCAAACGAGCTAGGAGGCTAATGCCTCCCAGGATGAGGTTCTGGTGGGCTGCACGAGGGAGGCAGCACTCACAGAAAACAGACTGATTTCAGTAGAAACACTGTACTAGAAGGAGCTCCAAACTGAGTAAAATCAATATATAAAGAATAACGCCACTTACACTTTGGAAGTTGCACGTTGCCAAGTCAACCAGCATAAATCTGCTCTCCTTCCATCAAGTGGGTTTTAATATATGTGTCTGATACATAATGCGTGCTCTATGCCAGCAAAAATTCCTTTATTAAGAGATTCCAAGGACCTTCCAAACTGTTCTACTGCTGTGTAAATTTTATGGAGGCAAAAGGTTAGAAACACAAAGACGCTGCCTTCCTTTCTAGAACACAGTTGTACTATAGCCTCACTTATTAGGGAGTATATTAGAGGAGACAATAAACAAAGGGTCTCTGAGGAACCAAAAGCAATTGGAAAGTTCACAGACAAGAGCAATGATACTTTACTTCTCACAGAGGCCCAGTCCCTGAATCAGAGACTTTTTAGCTTTACTTTACATAGCAAAAGCCTCGTTTCTGGTTTCCCATATTATAATTACCTACATGACAAAAACAGACTTAAAGACACATCCACTGCACCAGCAGTAAGTGGCAAGTGTCAAAAGAAATCAGGGAAAACTCGAATGAGTGGGGAAAATACAAGTCTAAAGCAGTTGCTCTACAAGGCTTTTCAAGTAGTTCTATCCTTTAAAAGAAACCTCGTGGATGGTCAAAACACGCACAACAGATGAAGGCTCAGAGCCAGTCCTCAAAGGGCCTCTCACCAACGCAAATCCGGCCACAAAGAAAGCTATGTTGTTCAGGGGCAGACTCCTAGTTTTATCTGTCAGTTTTATCCATTTTCTACCTTTCATGTATGTAACAGTGGCCCAATAAATGTTACCCCTTTAATCTTTTCCTTTGTTTTGTCCTCTATTTTAAGGACTATAAAACTCATGGACAGAATTTATGCAGACTTTTATGTATTTAAAGTGGATTTGGAATCCCAGCATAGGCCAAGTCTGTCTTCTTATACATCCATGGGAACAGGAACATGTTATTTAATACTGGATAATGACAGTCATGACAATAATTAAGTACCAACACTTTGCAAAAGTACATTTGAAGCCTTTGGGTATATAAGAAGGGATAAACCCTAACATCCCCATAAAAAGTGGCTGTCAGAAGAAGTCATTACTGGATGATTCCAGACAGAGACCGGAGGCTTCATACCAGTTTAGCGGCTGATGGGAGAGTTCAGAGAAGGTTAAGAAACTGGAGAGTAGTATTTAAGTAGACTGGAAGTAATAAGAGAAAGAGAATTTCTTACAGAATATTTTCATATTCTTGAGGTCAAAAAAAGCATTCCTAAGCAAGACACAACACCTGTAAAGGAAAACTAAGCTGAACTACAGAAAAATTTAAAATTCAGGGGGAGGGTATAGCCCAAGTCGTAGAGCGCTGTTTAGTATGCACGAGGTCCTGGGTTCAATCCTCAGTACCTCCTCCAAAAGATAGATAGACAGACAGACAGACAGACAGACAGACAGACCTTATTGCCTTCCCCTGCTCCAAAAAATAGAGAAAGAAACCAATATATAAATAGGCAGAGGTCATGAACAAAAGAAATATGGACAGCCAAAAGGCCCATGAAAAATGCTCAAGACAGAGAAATGCAAATCCAACGAGTCATATTTTATTCATTCGCAAAATCTAAAGAAGCTTTATAATACCAAGTGTTGGCAAGGGAGGGAAACAGACTCTCCACACACTGCTGGTGGGGATGTAAATTGGTTAAACCATTTTGGAAGGAAAAAAAAAATCTCTTCCTACTGTAAGAACGGAGCACATACCCTTGGACTCAGTATTTCCACTGCAATACTATGTCAATATGTCCACATGTGTGGAAGATGGAAATTTGATTTTAAGTAAACAAAACAAGAGGAAAACAACCTAAATGTCTACCGAGTGCTTCCTAAATGCCAGGCACTCCCTTCTAGGAAGGGGATCATAAGGAAGTGGTTACATAAATTACAGTACACTGGTCCTGTCAGATATTACACAGTATTAAAAAGAATGACATGAAAAGATCTGCAAGACATAGTTAAAAGAAAAGGCTAAACCACACAAGATGACTGATTATATTTATATAAAACAATCCAAAAAGGAAAAAAAAAAGACAAAGCCTACATATCCATGTCTACATAAATATGCATGTGAACGCACAGAAAGCAGACCGGGCAGGAATGCATGAGTGACCCGGGGGGTGGGGGTGGGGGTGGGGTTCACATCCTGCTCTGAACATTTCTGAATTTGATTTTGAATTCAAAATTAAATTTAAACTCAAAATCAATCTGAATCTTGCATATCATGATATATTCACGTTATTTTTCTTTTAGGCACAAAGTTGCATGTTAATGGCATCACATGAATCAAATGTAGTGAAGAGTGAAAAGACAGAATCTGGGGCAAACCCAACATGCCAGTGTAAATGACACAGCTCGCCCACACTTAGAAAAATCAAACACTGACACACCTGAAACTTTCTTAACACTCACCCAAATCAGTCTTTCAAGTATCAGCTACTGCATGATAACACTCAGTTAATAACACTTGGATTTACAGGCTAAGAACATTTTTGTCCCAGAAAAGCAAACACACACACACACACGTTAAAACCAAAGGGTTGTGGCCCTTTACTTCCCATGTTCTGGTTCAGAAGGAACTGCACTAAAGGAACACAGGTCCAAACACCCTGTTCGGAGATTATCAACAACAATCTCCCACAAATATTGTCAATTCAGATCTTCATTCTTTCCACTGGCATTTGAGCCAATTCTTCATGATCTTCTTTTTAATGCAGGAAGAGGGGAGAACCAGGAAGATTACAGGAACAAGAGGATCCAAAATCTTAGGGTTTTCTTTCTTTTTTTTTTTAATTGGAAGGAAAAACCCGAGAATTTCTCGACTTGGCCCTGCTGTAGTTTAACTTGAACAAATTGAGAGACGCTACATTACTACAGCTGAAAGACAGCCAACGTTTACTTTGGCAGAAAAAAACCAAAGTCACTGAAGTCATTTTTTTTTATTACCACTAAAGTGCTACACTACTAAAGTCCTTCTTTAATGATTAAGCAAGAGCACCTTTCAAATTCTCCAAAGTCAGAGACTTGAAAGGAAGAAAGGAGTCACTGGGTAATATCCAGACACACCCCACAGCCTAGGTGACGGGTCTCCCGGTGTTCATGATACTGTGCCTTCAGCTTCTCTATGTGAGATTTCTCCAAATATAAAAAATTGGGGAAAGGGATTTAATCAAGTTTGTCTGGACGAGCCTTGGGTTAAGGTGGAAACGAGGATAAGAAGAAACAGTGGAACAAAAGATGAAGCACAGTTGTCTACCTGTCAACAACATGC